TACTGCCCATGTAACTCTCTATGTCTTTCTCATCCTCAATGCTGCCATATTGGTCACTCACATTTGGTACATGTTATCCATAATTTGTTATGATCCACACAATTGAATACCTTTGCATAGTCAATAAGACATAGGTAAACATCTTTCTGGTATTCTTTGCTTTCAGCAAATGTCAATTTATCTCATTGCTTTCAGCAAAGAATGGTTCTAGATACTAAAAATCAGAATTGCTTAAGACCCAGCCTTTGTCCCCTGACAGTTTTCAGTCTAATGCAGAAACTGTTACAGATAAATGGGGTCACTGCAGTATGTGGTGAACATTTTAATCACAGATATCAGACCCTGGGGACTAAAAGAAAGGGATGGTCAACATCCCTGAGTCACGTGGCATGCAAGGCCACATGGAGGAGACAGATCTAAAGCCGTGTTGGACAATGAGCAGGAGGCTAGATGTGGACATTTCCAACACAGAAGAGAGCATATGCAGGGGCAAAGCGGCAGGCAAAAGTAGAAGCCGCAGAAAGGTTCTGAGTCATTAATGTGTTAGGGGAAAAGTGGGCAGGCAAGGCTGAGAAAGGGTAGACTTCAGATCACAAGAGACCTTTCAGGCCAGAGCAAGGATCTTGGATGTTAACCTGCAGGCAGGAATAGCCATGGGGGATCAATGGTTAAAATGGATTAAAGGGAGGAGGAACTCAGCTGCTTTTATTTTAAAGCCCTGTGCCACGTGTCACTGATGTTCTACAGAGCAACTCAGTCTTAGGATGTGCAGACTGGAAAGACTCTTAGGAGTCACCTGGTCAGGTGTCTTATTTTACAGATGAAAAAAAAAAAAAAGCAGCCCAGGAAATACAAGTCATTGAGGGTTCGAGTCAAAGAGGGGTTTGAGAGTCAGTCGTCTACCCTAATGCCAGATCCCTTGAGTGTTGTTTTTTGATGTTCCTCCACCTTAAAATGCTGCCCTGCATGTGTCAGATCCTTCCCTTTCAAGGGCTCAGGCCCCAAACAAAGGCCAGTGCAGTTGCTCCTGAGGACCCCAGTAAGTGTCAGTATAAGATATTTAGGCGTCCTTTTGTCCCAGACACATCTTGTTCTTTAAAGAATTGTGTTGGTGAGTCTGTAGTTACATCAAGGTTGGGCAGAGAAAGCAACACCAGATGGAAAGGGGCCTGGGTTCTTGATGTTCATATCATATTCTGATCTCTCAGCAAGGGACTCATCACTGAAGTTGGTGAACAAGAAAGGACTTGGTGTGTTCTTATTGCTCAGATAGGGTTGGGTTTCCTGCCAGGCTTGGGGAATAACTGCAGCCTTTGTTTGTATACTTGAAGATGTTCCAGAAAGGTGAAAACACATCTGCTGCTTGGCTGTGAGATCTGTGAGCCAGTGAAAACCTTAAAGCCCAGTGACCCTATTTCCTCACATAATCTCACCTTTATTGTCAATTATTAGTGTATTAGTGGTCTCTGGGTGAGGGTGAGGAGGTGGAAGACAGTAGCCATAGGAAGAGAGTGGTGGTGGCCGGCTGGAGACTGGGACCTGTTTTCTTTGGAGGGTTCAGATGGGGAGGTCTCTGGTTTAGACAACATCTCACTAACACAAACCTAGGAACCAGTAGTGTGGGGAGAAGCATAGGAATGGAGTTGAACCCTTCTTTTTTGTTGTTGTTGTTAAGTGCCGTCGAGTCGTTTCCGACTCATAGTGACCCCATGCACAGCAGAACAAAACACTGCCCAATCCCGCGCCAGCCCCACAATCCCTGCTATACTTGAGCCCATCATCGCAGCCACCGTATCAATCCATCTCCTTGAAGGCCTCCCCCTCTTTTGTCGACCCTTCACCCTACCAAGCATGACATCCTTCTCCAGGGAATGGTCCCTTCTTATAACATGACCTTTTTTGTTGAAGCTGCTGGAATTCAGCCCTGAATATTTTAGTGTCTGTCTTTCCCCTTGATTATGAACTCTTTAAGATATTATCTGGGTCTCACTCATCACTCTGTGACTGGTGGGAAAGCACAGTGCCCAACACTGAATCAATGATCAACAATGTTTGTCACATCAATAATTATAGCAATAGCTACCATATATGTAGGTAGTACCTACCATGTCCTGAGCAGTTTGCATGTATATTTGTATTTCTTTAACCCTCCCACTAGTTCGATGTAGCTGATAACTTTATCCCTGTTATAAAGATGAGGAATTTGAGGCTCAGAGAGGTTAAATGACTTGCTTAAGGCTGCACAGCTAGTAGTAGCAGTAGTAATTATAGTATTAGTAGCAATAAATAGTAATAATATGATAATGGTTGCTATCATGTGAATAATGCTTGCCATATGTTGGATGCTGTTTGAAAATCTTTTATGCATTAATTCCTTTTATCCTCAGAACAACCCTACGGGTATATTTTATCCCCATTATACTTGCCCTAATCACTTAGCAGGAGCTCTGGTAGTGTAGTGCCTGAGGCACTTGACTGCTAACCGGAGGGCTGGTGGTTCAAACCCACCAGCCACTCCTCGGAAGGAAGATGGGGCAATCTACTTCCGTAGTGATACTGCCTCAGAAACCCAAGGAGGAGTCGCTATGAGTCAGGTCCAACTGGACAGCACATAACAACAACAACAACAATCTCTTAGCTAGTTAGAGGATTTCAAGTCTTGTCCTTTTACTCCAAGTCCAGAGATCTTTTCCCTGTGTCACACTGTCTTTGCCAAGGTGCAGGTGCAGTTACCAGCCCGAAGTTCCAGGGCAAAGCCCAACTCTCCTGATCTGAGGAGGGAGTGGAGGCATGGAGAATAAGCATAAACCCTGTGTGTGAAGTTTCTTACATCAGTCCTCTGAAGCCCTGTATCTTCCCTCTGCCACCTGTAAATTAGAGAAGTGGTGAAATTATAAAAAATGAAAAGAATGTCATTTTGGATTCCCCAGCTCCTTTGGCCTCTTAACCACAGGGGTTGACAGTCAGACCCTAACCTGGGTTTCTCACTTGAAAATGCAACCAAGAAACTCCTTGTGGAATAAATAAAAAGCCAAGTGAAAAAGTAGGTGGCCACTTGGAACAGGTATGATAAGCAAGCCCACTGTCCCTTCCCTTTGTCATCCTCCACTTTCTATCCCTGAGCATGGATGGAAGGAGACCATGTTAAGGAAGTAGGTAAAGGCCCAAAGGACCACTGGTCGGTTCACCACTGATCATCTCATCCATAACTGTGCAGTCAGGCTTTGTGCTTGGTTTTCACAACCTTCAGCTCTGATGCTGAGCACTTCTGCAAATCATTGCCCAAGGTTTGGGGAACCAGGTGGTGCAACAAGCCTGATGATGACAGCTAAGATGTAATCTATCATAATCACAGTGGTTACAATTACTGAGCCCTTACTATACCTTAGGCACTGAAGTGAACCCCTCGTGTGTGTTCTCTCACTTATCCTTCATAACAATCTGATGAGTGCCATGACTATTACCCCAATTATAATGAAAAAACAGGTTCATAGAGGTTAAGCCACTTCCCAGCCCACATAGTTGACACTAGTGCCATGTTCCCTAAAGCTCCTATATAAATAATTAGTCCATAAATGGCCCCTTCGCCCATCCCTCTAATTTCCCAAATGATTCTACTGCCCCTGGCCCCTCAGCAGGTTATGATAACAAGGAGGCATGTATTTCTGCCCCACCTTCTTGCACCCAGATTTGTACCTCCTACTAGAGCCAGGTCTTGTCAGGGCAAGGGAATACTCATGCCATCCCAGACTTCAACATGAATCCTAAATCTGGGGCTTACTGGCTTCCTGACGTTGGGGAAATTATTTTCTCTTTTGGAATCTCTGTTTTCTGAGATGTATGATGGGAATTAGAATAACACATACCTTATAGGATTGCCATGGGAATAAATGAGGTAGTATGTGTCAAGTTCTTCAAACAGGGACAGGCACAGAGAAAGAAATCAGAAAATGAAAGCCATTTAGGAAAAAAAAAAAAAAAAAAGGATACTCTGCCTTGCAGTTTACCAAAACAAAAACCAAACTCACTGCCATTGGGTCGACACCAACTCATAGTGACCCACATTGGGTTTCCTAAGTAGATGGCCCCATCTTCTTTCCATGGAGCAGCTGGTAGGTTAGAACAGCAGTCAGATGCCTTCGGTGCTGTGCCACCAGAGATCCTTTGCCTTGAAGGATAGTGAGGATTTAAGAGACCAACCACATCAACTCACTTGACCTACTGTTAGGGACCCATTGCTGTACAGCTGGTGCCTCCTGGTGGCAAATGGAGGCTGCCTTCATGAAGTGTGTCCAGTTCTCTTTATAGATCTTTTGGGAACCTCCTCTTAAATCTGAGAGTCAGGACTTCTAATGCAGAAAGAGGAAGAAAAAGGAAACATCTGTTAGTTGTTATTCACTAATATTTATGCTTCATTAAAAAAAAAAAATCAATATATACATAAAAACCCTCAGGGATTTCCAGAATACCGTTCACTGCTAACCAGAATCTGCTCAGTCCCTTCTTCCCCTGTGATAACTTTGTAGCTCACAGTGGCTCTGTGGCAGCAAAGGCAACATCTGTGGATTATCAGTCCCCAACTAGCCACCTGTGCTGACATGGCCTGGCAGATTTTGTGATGTGTTTGGTTTGCTGTTTGAATCAGTAGTATATGGCTGCTGGTCCACTCAGAATCTGTTCAGTGCCTCCTCTGTCTGGCCCTCCTGGGAGCTGGGAGTTCAGAGAAGTTTAAACAGGATTTTGCCCTGTTCCTTCAGCACAAAACCAGTAATTTCCGCCCTCCTACTTTGATTCCCATCTCATCCTAGGTCCAAAATGCTGCTTCTTCCATCTGCTTCAACTTTTATCCTTTAGATCATACCCCACTTACTCACCATGTATTTAACAAGTACTTACTGAGTGGATACTGTGGATGAGACTGTGGGGGCAGACCAGAAAATGAAGTAGACACAGTCACTTCCTTCTCAGAGTTTCCTTTCTTAGGTTTGTAAGTTTCCTTAGGGAAACCTTCCCTAGCCTCTCTTACTAGGACAGATCCTGCTGGTGTCAATCTCAGAGCACCATAAGCCTGTCTTTAATTGTAACTGAACAAATTGTAGCTTTACATTTGATTGTTGATTATTTTTGACTGTGGTTGGTCATCTCTCCTGGTGAGCAGGACTCTAGTAGTTACTCAATAAGTAATTATCGAATTACTGAACCAACAAAGGCACAGATTTGTGCTCAGCAAGCCCCATTGCTCAGACATTGGGTGGCTATGATTTGAGGCCTTCACTACCATGCACAGACCTCTCCAATCTCTTCATAGAAATCTCCAACCTACTGGTGGCTACCAAGAAAGCCCAGGAGTGGCAGCCTGTCTATCCCATGAGCCAGCTGAGTTTCGATCGGATCCTCAAAAAAGATATTATGCAGGTGAGTCATTGCTGCAGTTCCTGTGTCCACCGTCATTCCCACCTCCCCACAGTGAAACGGCCTGAGGATTTAGGGGAAATGGGGTTTGAGTTTGGGGGAATCCTGATGGAGAAGGAACAAGGAGGCTTTCCTTTCATAGTTAAATCAGTCCAGCTGTTGGCTTACTGTCTTCCTGCCTCTCTGATGCTCCTCAAAGACACTTTTTCCTTGAAGAAGTAGATTAGTCAGGCTTTTGGGAGTTCTCTGTGGTTGCAGGGACCATTCTTATGTCTGTGTGCAGGGGCCTGGGGAGTGTATTATTATTTTGTGTCCTTCCCCCCTTCCCCTCAAGCCTCTAGTCCATCCCTGCAGCATTCACCTAGCCAACAGTGATTGAGCCGCTTAAACATGCAGCCATGATTGCCACCCTTGAGAGGTGCACCAAGATATCTCTTACAGCAGGATGAGGGAACATCAAAGAAAGTCATCTTTCCTAGCCTTATGAGGATAGGGATGGGTTCCTGGAGCAAGTGGCATCAAAGCAGAGACTTGGAAGATGAGTAGTAAGTAGCTAAGCAAAGGCAGAGGGACCAGCATAAGAGGAGGCTGAAGGAAGAACGTGAACAAAGCCAAGCAGGGGGACATTCAGGGGCCTTTGTGGGTTGCTGCAGAATCCTGACAGCATGGTAGTACGACTTGGCCACTGGGGTAAGTAACCTTTCTGGGGAAAAGTGATTATTCTGAAAGCATATGGCTTTTACGGGATGTTCTGGGGACACAACTTCCCATAAACTCTGATGGATCGCTTTGTGACAGCTGCAGCTTTAATGAATAGTCACAGGACCTTGCCAGCCCACAGCAGACTAGGCGGATATATCACCATTCTGCTTTGACAGATGACAAATGGTGGCATTTGTGCAAATTAATACACCTGATTAACGATCATGTACATTCTTGTGGGGGGCAGGGCTGATTCTCTAGGAATCAACCACAGTCCATTTTCTGCCTTTACGGGGGGTGCTGGAATAATTGCACTTTAATTTTGCAAGTTTTGCAGGGCTAATGTCAATAGCTTGACAACACCAAACTTTTATTAATCACATTTTGATTTCCAAATACTCAGAATTTATAAATCAGAAATAATGACCCTTAAGTCAGAAGGGTCTTTACAGACAGATAAGCTAAGGGCTTTGCACAGATAATCTAATCTGCTCTTCACACCACTCATTTTGATAGTATTATTCTATTTTCTTCATTAGTACCATTATGAACTCATGGATTTAAACATTGGGTATGTTTTAATTCTTAGCAGTTACCCTTATTGATGCTTAAATTGTCCCCACGTTAGTGGCCAGGGGCCACTTAGTCAAGTTGGCATCTGAGCCTTTTGACATGACCCTGATTAGTTGTAGCCATAGCTTTGTGATATGACCATTCGTTCCCAGGTTTCTCTTATACATTTCTACCTAAGACCTGAAATTAGCCATTTTTTCAAGGAGCCCTGAATCTTTGTAGTCGAAAATGGTATTGGGAGACTACAGTCTGGGTACTAGGGATTCTTATTGTTACAGTGTTAGTTTTTAGGCTTTTTCAGTAGACAGAGCTAAGTTAAGATAAAATACATCATCTGTTCAGGTGAAACTTCCAGTTCAAATTCAAAGCAATTATAGGGTTTTTATAACTTAATGAAACTGGCGTTTGTACATCCTTTCATGCTGAAAGCCCCAGTTCTTAATAACATCAGCATACATATTTGCTTTATCCCATCTACACAATCTCAATAATAATATAAATAACATACTCTGAATATCACTCAGAGTACTTTATAGGAAAAAACATCATTGCTTTTTACAGTTTGATAGTCCTCCACTATGTGGATGTACCTTCGCTTATTCATCCAGTTCCCTATTGATAGAATTTAGACTCTCTTATGTCTTTTGCTGTAACAGATGGGACTAAAATAAATAGCCTTGTACATAAATATTTTTGTATTTTTACCAATGTGTCTTTGGGATGGATTCCTAAAACTGTGTTTGTGAGGGCAAGTGGATATATAATTTTCATCACTGATTTTAGCATGCTTACACACACACATTGGACAGATGGATGGAAAGTGAGCAGTTCCCGTGTGAGAGAGAATGAGCACCTGGTTTAGAGAACTATCAAACAAAACGAAGTGGCCCGACAGATTGGCTTCTACCTGCCACATACCAGAGTGTGTACCAGGAGCCTCCATAGTTATTTCCTCATCTGATTCTTAGAAGAGTCTTTTGATTGGATACCGTTACTATCCCTACTTACTGGGAGTGGGGTGCATGGTAAAGGAATGCCTGCCAGCAAGCATAGAGCCAGGGCTTACAAGCCCTTCTCTTTGTCATGGTGATCCTGTGTACCACAGAACGAAACACTGCCTGGTCCTGCACCATCCTCACAGTCGTTGCCATGCATGAACCTATCGTCACAACCACTGTGTCAGTCCATCTCGTTGAATGATCTCCTTTTTTACCAATGTGGTGGCTACTAGTGATACTGTTTGTAGTTTTAGAATAGGTCAAGATTGTGTTCTGGCCACAGGTTCTTCCTAGAGATGGAAAACAAAGAGCAGTCTGGAGAGTGGGAGGGTTGTCTCCTGGGGCCCAAGAAGGGCCATACTGTGTTTGGCAAGTAGCTTTTTGTTTTCCCTGGAGGTCTCACAAGGACAAGGCAAGGATTGAGAGCTTGTGAATATTGGACTCTTTTGCCTTTACCCCATCCCGTTTGATTTTCAGTGTTGCCACCTTTTGCTTTCTCCTTCAGGGTGAGCACCTTGGGAGAGGCACACGGACACACATCTACTCTGGGACGCTGGTGGATTACAAGGAAGATGAAGGAACTTCTGAAGATAAGAAAATAAAAGTGATCCTCAAAGTCTTAGACCCCAGCCACAGGGACATTTCTCTGGCAAGTGTCTTGTCTCCTTCCATTCCCCCATTTCTAGGACACATTAGGCTTGGAAGAACCTTTACCTTTATTTTGACCTGGTGGTTTTCAAACTTGTCTTTTAGTCAAAATTGCTTCAGATAGAATATTGGCTAGGCCAAATGTGTTCAATAAGTGAGGGAGGATTAAAGCTCAGGTGGGTGGAACAGCCTCTCATACCTTCCTACCCCTCTCTGGCTGTTCATTTCACCTTCGGGACAATTAATGCCCAGAGGAGTAAAATGACCAGGATCCCTCAGATTAGCAGAATGGTAACACCAAACGTCGAGCAGAGATCTGCTGCTTTGGTTTTTGTCTTATTCTAACGTAGTGCTAACTACTGATGGGAGCTCTGGTAGCATAGTGCCTAAGGCACTTGACTGCTAACCAGAAGGTTGGCGGTTCAAACCCATCAGCCACTCCTCGGAAGGAAGATGGGGCAATCTACTTCAGTAGTGATACTGCCTCGGAAATCCAAGGAGGGGTCGCTATGAGTCGGGGCCAACTCGACGGCACCTAACAACAACAACAATGTAGTGCTAAGCATTGTTTTAAAACTACTTCCCAAAGTTAAAAAAAAGAGAGAGGTGGTCATGTGTGTTCGAAAGGAAAAGCATCAGCTAGCTTATCCCACCAGCTTTTCTATTCATCCTATTAGGTTTTCTAAATAAATCTGTATCCTGGCCAGATTGACCCAGAGAGAAAGGCTTGGCAGTGGCCTTCTGGACAGTCCCATGGGAGCAGGTTTCAGGGCCTGGGATGGTGACAGTGGTGAGCTTTCCTGGGCTCCCCTGACTTTCCCCTCAGAAGAGCTCTTTCAGGAGCAGACCAGCAGAGGCTCACCCTTGAAGTCCCTGTGTCCTATTCCCCCACAGGCCTTCTTCGAGGCAGCCAGCATGATGAGACAGGTTTCCCACAAACACATCGTGTACCTTTATGGCGTCTGTGTCCGAGACGTGGAGAGTAAGTATGTTCTCTTTTGAAGGGAATGGTTGGCCTGGCTAAGAAGTACAGTTGCTTTAGTTGGTCTGTGAAGATGGCTGGAAGCTGATACCTCCTTCATGTTGCCCAGGCTTCTTGTCTTTCTTTTTGTAGTTGAGGAAATTGAGGTACTTGAGCAAGTCACTTGCTTAAGGTAAAGTGAACTTAGAACTGAAACCCATTTGTTCTTCACTCATTTCTTAAATGTTTGCTTTATTCCACCTCTGGCCCCGTAATGTGCTAGACCTTGCAGTTGAGATGAGTAAACCCAGCTCCTCGCTGTAGAAGTCAGAGCAGAAGCTGTTCTAGGCAAGGGTAGCGGCAGGTGAGGGCGGCCCTGAGGAATGTGAGGCTGGCCTGCTGAGTAGCTTGGTCTGAATTTCTCACAAACAGGCTTTGATCTCCCTTAGTTGTTAGGCTACTGAGAAGATGGATGTACCTTTGGGCCACTGCTTCTTCACCTGCTTTTTGGCTAAAGCAAACTGAGATGGTCATCCTGTACCACTGAACCTCTGAATTCCTGAGAGATAAATGTGAAGGAAGAATTTTTTTTTTTTTTTTTTCCAAATTCAAACCTTAAGTTAAAATACCCAGAGCTCTGTGAGGCATAGGTATTACTCTCTGCATTTTTACAGATGAGGGAACTGAGACTGAGAGAGGTCATCATTTGTTCAGGGGCATCTAGAGTAAAGATAGAAGAGGTTGGGGTTGAAACCCAGCCCTCTGCAACCATTTATACCTCCTACAGATGTCTACTAAGTGGGCTTTCGTAACAGGGTGGGGTAGAGTACTATCTCAGACAGACAGAAGGTTCCAGATATGACCTTTTTTGTGCCTATAGATATCATGGTGGAAGAGTTTGTGGAAGGGGGGCCCCTGGATCTCTTCATGCACCGGAAAAGTGATGCCCTCACCACACCATGGAAGTTTAAAGTCGCCAAACAGCTGGCCAGTGCCCTGAGCTACTTGGTAAGAATGTTCTCACATCCCTGGTAGTTCCCTCAGGAACCAGAATGTCCTAGTAGAAGGTGACAGGAAGAAGGTACTGGCCAAGTAGGCTGAAGGGACCCTGTCCTCAAGTTCTGTAGGGCCAGGGTTTTGTGGTTAAGCATAGATATGCCTGGTACTTGATGATTTATTCCCTGTGAAAGTCGGTAACTTGGGGCTTTTCCCTGTGCTCACATGAGAACCATGTTTAGAGAGAAGTTTGATCAGTCAGAGAATGGACTTCTGTATTGCAGTATGTGTAGAGAGTAGAAATAGTATAATACTTGTTGAATGAATAAAATTGTTTCCATCAATAGTAGCTAACATTTATTGAGTGATTTCCACAGGCCAGATGTTTAAGTGTTTTACAAAGATTCTAGTTGGTTGAATTCTCACAAAAGCCCAAAGAGGTGTGCTGCACTCTTATCCCTGTTTCACTGGTGAGGAAATAGAACCTGAGGGACATTATATAACATGCGTAGGCCACACAGATAGTTGGTAGAGAGCTGGGCTGACTGAGCATGGCGGTAGCTACAGAGGATGGAGAAGGAGTCTTAGGGGCCAGGATTGGAAACAGGGAGCATGGAAGGAGAAAAGATAGGCATCCCATTGGCAGCTTTGTACCTCAGTGCTTTCTGCTGTGCAGGAGGATAAAGACCTGGTCCATGGAAATGTGTGCACTAAAAACCTGCTCCTGGCCCGCGAGGGCATTGACAGCGAGTGCGGCCCATTCATCAAGCTCAGTGACCCCGGCATCCCCATCACTGTGCTCACCCGGCAAGGTATGTCTCCCCTTCCTCTAACTGCAGCCTGTGCCATGGGTCAAGCCAGAGAGGAGAATGGGGCTTCTTTTAGGAAGGAGCCCCTACTGTGTGCCCTGGCAGGGGGGAAGTGTAGCACTTCAAAGAATCTCACTGTGGAAGTGTATGTGATGTGCTGTATGGAAAGTGTATTTACTCTGTAAATTTTCACCCAAATAACATTAAAAAATAAAAATAAAAAAAACCTCAGTGTGCAGTAGGGCAGCAGTTCACTGGAAGCCCATCTTATCCTTGTGATGAATGAGCTGTGTACAAAATGTTGGGGTAGCACAAAGGGAGGCCAGCTGTGTCCTGGGGAAGAGAGAGGGTCCAGGGTGGGGCCTCCTGTGTCCTCCCCTGTGTTCCTTTTAAAAACCACTGTCATTGCTGAGCAGGTTGGAGAGGCACCTTATCTACTATTACCTGAGCTGTTGCTGAGGTCCTTTGGCATCCTGTGTGAACATGGTTATTGTGAGTTGTAAACTCAGAAGAAAGGACAGACCTAAGATGTTGAAACCAGCATTGTGCCCCTCAGCTTGTAGGCCAGATGTGGAATTCTAGTGTGCCCAGGGCTCATGCAGGGCAGCAGTGTGTACTACTGTCTCCAGTGTTGAGCACAGTGCCTTGCATTTAGGGTTCTGTTCAGTAATTCAGTGAAAGAATGGACTCAATTTGGAAGGGCACCAAGATATGAAACAAGCCTTACAAATAAAACCTTATCATCCAAGAGTTCCAGCAAGATGGCGGACTAAGCAGAAGGACTGCACAGACCCTTTTCAACAAAGAAAAGGGAAACCAATTAACACAGACACAGAAGATAATCTTGGACCCCTGAACCTTGAAGGGAAGGATACAGAAGTGGACTAAATCCCAACTAGCAGAAGAATTTGCGTGAAAATACCAAAAAAGGAGACATACAGAGCTGCAGTCTGACAGCACCCTGAGC